AGAGAGAGAGAGAGAGAGAGAGAGAAATCATACAATTTTTGCATAATTCTGCCGGATCTTCGATGACTGTCGAAACGATCGAAATAAACAATCCTTATCTTAATTGCTATCTTTTATAATACGTTATCGAGTTGAATCTTAACCTTTCGTATACACACTTATATTTTGCCTACGTATTATATAACATGGGGTCCCGAGGACCCCATCCATATTTGTTATTGTAACTGTATCAAAAATTGATATATTTTAATTCACTTTTTTTTAATCTATAGAGAATTGATTAAAGAACAAGTCTATAATAAATAAAAGTCGATAGAATTAAAGAGTTCCGAGATATACGGGTTAAAAGAAAAAAGAAACGCAACAAAATCTCGATTTAACACGTTTATCAAAGTTGCGCTGAGGTTCCAGAGACCTCGCAGTGTGTATACGTAGGGTTAATACTGGACATTTATTTCACAAACTCATAAGAATAATCAATAAGCTCTTTATTAATAAGGAATACACAAGGCATTCTTTTCACATTGTATTAGGCTTCATCGTTAATATATAAAATATTTTATGAAAAACAAGATCTTATAAAGGAAAAAACAGAAGTTACTTGCGATACAGTTCAACAAATATAGGAGTAATAGAGTAAAATACGATATTTTCTGCTATTTTGAAAAAAATCGCAGTTGCGCAAAATAGATGATGTCTATTCACGAGAGAGATGTAATCATCTTCTTCGAGATAAATCGACTGCGTTCTTTCTTCGCAAAAAATAAGTTATCTCCACTAGCAGAAAGTATATAATTCAAAGTCTTGTGGTAAAACTGATATTTCCTCTCGCAGCGTGTCTAATATGCGTGACGAAAAAGGAGAAGAAAAACAACCGACACATTCGTTTAGGACGGAATGTAAGTCTCGCGTCACTCTTAACGACTGGCCAGATTTTTTTTTAACTTGTTCGGGGATTACCCATGCCTATAGGCGGTTTCGATTTCTTTTTTTCCTACCGGTCCCTTCGAAGACAGTCTGAAGGTAAAAGAGGAAGTTTTGTCCGTAACGTTCGTTTCTTCGATCGGACGACGATGCATGCAATAACGTCAAACGCATACGACTTTCCTTGTACGGTAACGATTACTCGTGATTTAGGATATGCCATAAACCGTGTTTTCAGCATGTTTAACAACGCAATGTAACGCCTACTACAAAAGCCGAATATTAGTCCGAGAATATAAAGTAAAAAAATTAAAAAATAATAATAAATACGAATTAATTATTGAAAATCTAGACAAGTCATATTTTCTATCAGAAAAACGACAAATATTTAATTACATATTATATAATGTAAAATATCCCTCACTTTTAACGACAGAGTTTTGTATTTTATTCCAGCATCCTCCTTCTCTTAATTTTAAATTATAATGCGCGGGCTTCAATTTCATGTTTTCCAGTAAAAGTACTAACCAAAAGCTTTGTTTTGAGCCCCAATAGAACTGCTAATTATGTGTACTTCCGCAATTACAGCAGCTTGAAAAATTGCTAAAATAGCTCGTTTTTTGAGAATCAATTTTCTCAATATTTAAAGGTGATAAACACCTTTTGCTGCCGAATTTAAATTTAGCACACCAAAATTTGTCAGGAACCAAAGAAAATTCTCATGCCACTCATCGAACCCCTAATCTCACTGACTAGGGTTAACGACAAGTATATCGCGTAAGTGCGCAAGCCATTTTTCCGACTACCATCTTTGTTTCGAGAGATATATTATTCCTCAAGGCTAGGACGAAAGAATTTGTATATTTTAATTTTTTTCAAGTGTAATCACAAGATGACGCTCATTAAGTGCACCGTCAGCATAGCTTTGACCATCATACGACGACGATTACGGAGACACGAATTATGAATGCGTCGCTAAATCGCCACAACCGCGCGACTAGTGCAGCCAGAGACTGTACTGGACCGAAGAGGAGGGTCGTCTGGTTGGGGGTTCCAGCCAGCGACGATATAAAGGAGAGACCGCACATAGTCTGATACTAATATACAGTCGAGAGTGTATCAACAGTAGCAGCATCTCGCCGAAAGTGTGCACGCACGATCGGCCGGCACATTCAAAATTTTCGGTTTTTTTAGAGCTCCCAAAACGCGAACCGCGTATTTTCGCCGTGTTTTGTACACTGTGTATTCCGCTCGATAAACTTGTATCTTTCTTTCTGGTCCTTGCCACCGGTGATCTTACGAGAGCGATTGTGAATAATAGTGATTTCGATTTCGACGCGCAAAAGTGACGTTCCGTCTCGGACTTCTTGTTTACAGGATTTGGCTAGTCAAGAGCTGCATCTTTCACGGCGAATGACAGGTGTATAATTTTGTTGATGTTATTTAGGATGATATCGCGCGCGCCGTAATTCCTGAAGCGCGTAATTCCTGTATGTCACGCATTGACAGATCATACAGTATTGAAACAAACGAATTTTTTGTTTCTGCTTTTTCTCTGTTTATATAAAAATCCGTAAAATATATTTTATTTTTATATAAGTAAAAACAAGGATATTTATATATTTTTATATATTATATAATGATATATTTCAAACATCCGTGATTATTTATATTTGTAAAATATATCTTACCGTTTATTTTACTAATTTAATTAAATTTTATTAATTATATTAATTCGAATCAATAATATGGTAATTTGTTACAATATGACATCATTTCTTTTACTTCATATATGTAAATAATGTAACTGCATTCAGCAATGCGCCCAAATGATAAATTTATTTAATATTCAAAGAAATGTAAAGTAAAGTCACCGCAGTACAGTTGTAAAAATGTTTTGTTGATGACGTACAATATTGTGATCTTCTGAGTTACGATAAGATTTACTTTTCAAAAAAGTAATAGTAGAAGAATATGTAATTTAATGTTTAAAGATTTTTGAAAAGTTATTTTGATGGATTCCCTACACTGACTGACTAATAGTTCATTTGCACAGGATCGGTTACAACTAAAGACTAAAAAAATACAACTAAATAATTTTAATTCGATACTTTTTAATTTGGTTTTTTTATATTAATTTAAAAAGTTTTATATTGCTATATTTATTATATTATATAATTAATTAGAAATTAGAAAACAACTTCGTATCAAAATAAATATAGGATTTGCAGAAAAATGTTCGATATTAATAAAACTCTATATATCTCGGATATTGCTTGACTTATGCGCTACACATTTTGTAAATCGCGTTTGAAGTGGTGCGTACAAAAATGCGGTGGGAATTTTCATTGGAGCGCAGCAAATGAAACGAAGAGTAATGTTCTACTCTTGTGATTCAGAGTTACACGCAAGCAATCTTACAATCTTGCTCGACTACTAATCATTACATGAGTTAAAGGATACGATTTCATAAAAATAAGAAGTTCTCTCCTCAAAGTAAGATTGTTACGCTCCATCTATTGCGCGAAGTTTGAAAAGAATAAAAGAAGATTCGATAAAATTCGACAAAAGAAGACAATCGTAGTTTTGTAAGATTAGCATGATTAATTTTTACGTAATACCCTATCAAAAATCAATTCCTCTTTAATTATAAAAAATTTAAAACATCAAAGAAATGCATCATTCCGTGGATTCAGTATGAAATATATTTGAATTTTAAAATGATGATTCGGCTCCACTAAAATAATCGCGTATATTGATCAGCCTGCCTGGTGCATTTGTTTTTATTCACAAATACAGTGTGTCCCGCCACTACCGCATTATCTTTTAAGAACGGATTCCTGAGGTAATTTGAAAAAACAGATCCTAATGTAAAAATGTCGAGGCTATAATACTTTTCAAATTATAAACAATTAAAGTTGACCAATTATATTGGCTAAAGTACGCGCGTACTCAGGTATGGTACAACACACAATTAGTCGCAATATGAAATTGCTCAGTGATGGTGCAAACTTATAAGTGATATTATAAGAGAGATTTTAAAAAATTCATAAATTCATTATTGTGAATATTTCAAAAATATTCTTGAAGTTGAATTGCAATTGTTTTATATAGAATCTATATAATATCTATATAATATATTCTATATTTTATCTATAATATAGAATTAATAAACATGTTTGCTATATATCACAATTTATTTAGAGAATTCTCCTCACAGCTCACCTCGTATTTTTTTATATGATTTCGTAAAACAAACTTAATTTGATAATGTGAACATAAAAAATATTATGCCGTATATTTTGCTGTCACATATAGACGTTAGTAACGAACGTATTAACGTTTCATGACTTATATTTAACGCTAAAAATAATTTTGTAATAGTAAATTCGTGCAAGCCGTATGAACGTTCGCTTGCGACAGATTTAGTTTTGCGATTTAATTATAGAGATTAGTTCATTTCTTTTTACTAGCATCTGTGCGTAGCAAGTGCTAAAAGAATAAAAAGATAAAAAGATAAAAAAGATAAGAAAGATAAAAAGAAACATAACGAACGCGCATTTATGTATACTTGATATTTGCACACTTTCGAAAAGAGGTGGGTCTAGACTAACTTTTCTGGCCGGCTTTGACTGTAATATGTAAATCAGGTAAATATGTGCTCTTGACACGATTCTATCGCGTCAGTTTTTTAAATACTATGTTACACGCGAGCGAAATCACTTAAAAATTGATCGTGAGAACAACTTTGTGCAACGATGTACATATCTCATACATCTATGATAATCTCCATCTATAATACATGATACATCTATAAACCTGATGCAAATTAAACAATTTGCAACTGATTCGCTCGATAACAGGCGTGTTGTAAACTTATAAATATTTAAATGATACAAAATATTGCAGGAAACAACAGAAAAAAGGCGTATTACACACGCAAGTCTTTTAAATATTTATAACAGTTGTCACGTTTATATGAAACAAGCGCAGGAGAAATTTATTTGTAAATACTACCAGTAATTAGCAACGTGAGGAAATCGCCTACGGAACAGTACAATACAGATGATTCTTTACCACAATTAATGAGAAATATAGATTAGTATATGCAATTAATCTTTTTGCTGTTGTATCAAGGGAAATTTGTTACATTTACGAATTCCATTACAACTAAATAATAAGTTGCTCCAGCAATAAAAATTAGCTAAAGCAAATAATAATATAACAATATTATGAGACTTATTTTAGTGACTAAAATAATATCAACAAAAATGGATTTGCTCTATGAGTACGTTGATAATTGCTTCCACACATAATTTCCTTACTGGGTTAGAAAAGTTAGAACATTTAATTTTGTTTAGTAAGTTACAGATTTACTAAACCGACCAAATCATTTTTTTCTGTGTTGAAGTTCGTCGCAATTATCAGTGATTTTCAATAAAATATAGATAAGAAGAAACATAATAACAGTATTTTAATATTATCACACAAGATTATTGTTATTGCTTTATTGAGTCAATTATATGCTTCTTGCTTACCGCACATAATAATACACCTCTATTAAACGTTTGTCCTATACAAAAGATGTACGTAAACAATAACATCAATAAAACTATGAAAAAGTCAATACGAAAAATACGAAACTAAACAGTTCGAAAAGATTACGATTAAATACAATTTCTTTCGTCCCCGTAAAATGAGAGATAAGAAAGTTGTGTGTGAGTTATGTCTAAGTGAGACAACTTTAACCTATTTGGTTGATAAAATAGTCGCATGATATGCTCCCAAAATAATGAAGAAGTAGCACAGTCGGGTTTATCATATTCTAAAATTATTATTAATTATTAATTAAAATTATTGAAAATCATATCATTATACCAGACTTATTTCCCTTATAGAAATATCATACTAAGAATCATTGATAATTACTTATTTTCAGTATTAAAAATACTGGATAATAAATAATTATCAATGATTCTTAGTATGATATTTCTATAAGGGTTATCAGTAAAACATGCTCTTCTTAATCTCAAAAGTTCCTTTCTTAAATTATTGAGCAATCGTGTAGTTATTTATTAGTTTGTTTGTATCATGTTTATCATTTCAAGTTTATGTAGACACAAAATTATTTGAACATTTATATTTTTTCGTGTAGTTACGATTTAAATAAAACGGCTTTATAGAAGCGGGATAAAATATTTCCATAGAGGTTAGCTCTCCAAAAGAGCTCATTTTATTTGTTTTTATTAACTATCAGATGCCACGAATTCACATTTTTTTCTGTTTTTAGAAAATCCGAAATTTTCTTTCAATATTCGTGTTTTATAAATTAGCAGAAAAATATATAAAACGTATTAAATAATAGATATAGATTAGGTTAAAAACTGAACAAAAATGTTCTCTACCATTTTTGAAACAAGTACGTAAGATTTTGAGATATTAATTAAAGGAGATTGACGAACGATTGTGTTATGTGAATATTCACTAATCTTCTTTAATTAATAATTCAAAATTTTACGTAGTTTGTAAAATGGAGATAAAAATAGAGGAATTTTTTGTTCAATTTAACCTACATGTATACGAGAGTTTCATATGTCATCATCAGAGATTCTATATATATATATAAATATAAATTTTTACATTAATAAGAAGCATATTAATATTTAGTGTAACTTTTAAATAATGATATTTGTAGATCTCACATTCGGCAGAACACTTACAGAAATGTTTTTAATTACAAAAAATAGGAAATTAGGCGAGGCGCAAGATATAGTGTGCAAAGATCTTTGTGATTATAATAATAATAATATTCTAAATTCCGTCATATATTCGACTCTTTTCAGTGAAAAAAAGTTAATCATATATGTAAATCATATATTAATCATATGTAAATCATATGTTAATCATATATGTTAATCATATATGTAAATTACATTAGACAATTACGTGAAACGATGCTAATCCTATAATAGAGCGGATGAAAAGTATGTTGTTCAAACCATGATGCATCTGTGTATCTTATGTCAAGACAACGTCGATATCGAAAACGAATATATTAATATTATAGGAGACATAAAAATTTTAATGTGATAGTATTGTCAAGAAATAATCTATATGTTTTTGCCCGAATGCGTGCTACTCACGCACGAGATGCTTGACACATGAAATCAAGAAAACATAAAAGTTACGCCATACATTTGCGTCATACATTCCGACAAGCGTCTGTGACTGATATATATTTTAACGCTTGATACTTCAACGTTTAACTTTCATATGATTATCTCTATTTGTTTTGGTACTTACTTGTGGCTTTTTATTTAACGACTGTGAATACTATATTTTTCTTGATTCTCTTCCACATTTGTTCCACGTTCTCTCTCTCGGGTAAAAATACTGTAGATTATCTTTTAATGTTTCAAAATTATGTTAAAATATTTTAAATTCTATAATCTTAGCATATTCGTCTTCGACACTGATATCGTCTCGATACACGGACATATTGTAGCTCATACTCACAGTATCGTTTGAAAATTTTTGGACCCGAGACACTGAAACGTGTCAATGGATGATATGTCGCATGTTAAAAGTTACTTCGCAAAAGTTGTAGAATGTATATGCGAGTGTATTTCAAAAAATAAAATAGTTTCGGTTTTCTCGCAATATCATGTTTTCTTTCATCTTGTCCAAAAATTTTCCAACGTTACTATATTTTATCTGCTTTATTATAGGATCTGCATTGCTGCGTATGTGTATCTAATATAATATACGTATTTAACGTTTCTTTTACTAAGAAGGGTCAAATGTACGACCGTTTGATTTTATAATAATATTTATACAATATAATATAATACAGGGTGTCTCAGACTTCTATGATGATCCTTTGATGAGAACGTAGAACGGATTGAGATGAGCAAGAAAGCCCTGTGCCGTTTTGCGATATTCGCAATAATAGTCGAGTTATTAATTAAAAAAGATTGGTGATTGATCACGCGCAAATTGGTAGATGGCTGCAATGGCGCCGTCTGCCGTTGTATATTTATACATTAAATCAAACTGAACAAAAAAAATCCTTTACTATTTTATAAATGATCACATAGATTTTTAGATAAAAAAAATTTATGCATTATGGTATACAATCATATATGTAACAATTTTCTTTAATATTTAAAAATCTATGTGGTTATTTGCAAAATGGAAGAGGACTTTTTTGTTCAGTATAACTTAATGTATAAGTATACAATGGCAGACGGCGCCACTGCAGCTCATCTACCATATCACGCGTGATCATTCACCAATCTTTTTTAATTAATATCTTGACTATTATTGCGAATATCGCAAAACGGCACAGGACTTTCTTGCTCATCTCAATTCGTTCTACGTTCTCACAAAGGGTCATCATAGAAGACTAAGACACTCTGTATAATATAATAATTTAAATTTGTAACATTATTATTATGTAATATAAAATTATATTTGTACGCTACACCCTGTTTTTAGCTTTTATTAGTTTAATTTTATTAGTTTATTTTTTTTTTATTGAATATCACCTACACACATTTATTTATTGTTTTTGTATAGAGATATACAAAACAAGAATATTTATAAACAAATTCCATTAATCATATAGTAGCGATCTCAGTTATTTATATTACGTCTTATTTATATTTCACCTTTTTTACATATGATAATTTGAGTTTTTATTGCTTAACGTTTATATAAATTTTGTAGCCATTTAGTGGTCCATCGCAATTAAATACATTATCAAAGTATTAATTTACATAAAATTTTATTTATTATACAAAAAATACTAGTATAATTCCATTGAATAAAAATTCACGGATATTTTGTTCATTTATGACGCAATTTTCGTCGTGCAAAAAATATTTATACAAGTATTCTTATCGTATCTTAAGTTCTATTGTATTCTGACGTATCAGGCGTTTTTACTCTTCCAAAATAATTGCGCCGATAAAAATGCTCTTTCACTTTTGAGATACGAAAAAAATTCAGTACACTTCAATCTATCATATCTCATTGTTATGATGCATTTTACATTCTTACATTGTCGTCTCTTCGGGAAAGTTAATTTAAAAGAAAATGAAATTTTGTATTATATCAATAACTTCACATAACTTTATAGCTTAACTTGTACGACATAATCCGGTATCCTCTTCTCAGCTTAGTCAGCTCGTTGAAGCTGTCCGCGGGAAAGTGTCCGCGAAGTCTATCGGAAGGGAACAACCGCTCTGCGATATGCAAACAAGAGTAACGTGCTAATAGCGTTGGTAAACTCGTGGTGAACGGCGTTCAACTCTATGAGAAATCGATGACGCGCGGTTGTATGTCCACGCGTCTCTAATCGCGGCGAGTTGAATAGGGTCGAAGCACCAGACCCGATCTGTCCAATAAAGTAATTGAACGTAAATGATTAGCGATTTTCATGCGGAGATAACTGTATTCCGAGGTGCAAGAAGTTTTCAATGTGACACTGTTAATTGATTAAAAATCGACGGGGAGTAAAATCTTATTTGAAATTTTTATCCTCGATTTCTCAAATCTCTCGATTATGACGACGTTAATTCACGTAATAAATGAATTTAATTTGCATTCATTTCAGAATTTCGCAATCAAGGCGTCTAGACGAGGAAAACTGAGGATAAAACAAGGGGAATCAGGTCGCAGCCATGAAAACCACGCTCACGTTGCCACAATTTAAAAGTGAGTAATTCCTGACTTGCAAAGTGAGGACATACACGCATCTAATTGACTTACGATAATAATTATCCTCCAGACGTCGTTAGACAGCACAATATTTTCGAGTAGAAAATTAACCAGCAGGTATCTTCGTGCTGAGTGATTTGCATATATTTTCATTAATATGTGTATTTAAATATTATTGTACGGTAGATTTATGTAAATAATCGGAAAGTTTAATTAAGCTGAAAAAAATAATAAAATCCTTAATAATGAAATCAAACTCACAGACTTAGAACACTAGTTAAAAGAGAGAGTCGCCGAAGTCATATCAATTTTCTAAATTGTATCTTATTTTTTGTTTTTATTATATTATTGAACATGAATCTAACGGGATAAAAATGAGAAGTAAAGGAGCGATGAAAAATATAAACAAAACATTTTCAGATTATATCTAGTCCTGTATGTCCTACAAACTTTTAAAAAAATCAATTAATAAAGTACGAATTAAGAGACCGATGCGATTTCGGCAACTCTCCCTTATGCCCTTCGTATATTGTAAAACGCGACGGACATTAAACGCAAATATATCGTGAAAAATAATAAAAATAAAGGAACAATATTTTTAATTGAATTTAAAAAATGAATAAAATTACACTGCGCTGTTTGCAAATGTCTCGCAGTCAAAACAGCGATAAAAGAAAATCATATTTCAACAACGTAAGACGCGTATGCGATTATTTACATAACAAGAAAGGAAAAAGACCGGCTGACTCAAATCAAGGTTCAAAAAGTGTTCTCCAAGTGAACGCACGGCGATAAAATTTTTCTAAATCTTTTACGACCGTTGCTTTCTACGGGGGCCACTCGCGATCACGTAGCCACTAGCTACTCGCGGTCACGGTCGTGAATATTGCGTGGACTCAATCTTTTAGCACTCAGCGATAAATCCCGCGCTAACTAATGTCGCTCTAACTACACGTGCTACACGAAATCACGCGCACTATTACACTTACTTTAAACATATCCGCTAGTCGCATTTACATGGTCAAACTATTTCGGGCAAACCGGAAATTTTCAGCTAAATTTTCAATACTTTAACGGAGGATTTTTTAATAAACTCTCGAAGACATAGTTTAGCCATTGTAAAAATTCGTCCATTAGTTTTCGGATTTTTCCCCTTTAACATCGAAAGCCTTGAATAAAAATTCGTGTAAGGTCAATTGCACTCGAACGGATACTGATTTTATTGCGGCGTTTGCGGCGATCATTTTACTGTCGACCATGCATAATTGGAAAACTCGTTTCAACCAAGAAATGATTCCAGTTTGAAGAAGTTATCGTTAAGAGATCAAGTACAGATATTCTGGGACTTCCTTCAAAGATGATCGCGGTGTCTGATGGTTTCTGTGTTCACGCGATTCCATGAAATTCACGGGCAACCTAACCGGTGAAGACGCGTTTTCAAGGCTAAATCCTTGAAAGGACGTTACACTATGGGCTGTAGCGTGTAGCCGAGCCTTAAAATATTCACAATAGATCTGATCAAGGGCGCGCACGAGAGCCTTCCCAATAGGATGATGGCCGGTCTATCTCATAGTGGTCAGTATCATTCGGTTGCTTAATAGTACCACTGTCAGGCCAAATCGAAGATTTCGAACGAACGCGGTGACCTCGATTGGCCTTTCTCATTACTTTACTGTAGATAATCCGGAATCCGAGCCAAGGTAAGCCGCTATCTACTACAGAGGTTATATCGCGGGACGCGCGATCTATGCTCCTTGATAGCACCATATCCAGCGATCATATTGCGTGAAGATCGCGATGCGTCAAGTTGAATCTAAATGCTCTATGGAAAGATAGGTAAAACGTGGCGAGTGTACCAAAAAGATCGAAAACTTTGCGAGGGAAGCGAAACATTCGGAGTAATGTCTGAAAAATTCACCCTGCGAATCTACAAATTGGTTCATTCTTGTTTTAGATGCCTCACTGAGGAATCGAAAAGAACTTTGTTCTTATCATACATTAATTTTCTCTTATATTACAAAACTATATTTGGCAGAAATAATCTTTTGTAGAGATGTTTGAAAAATTTACTCCACGCTAAAAGAAAAAGTATCTATGAATTAAAAAATATCTATATATTTGTTAAGTATATATATATATATATATATATATATATATATATATATATATATATATTACTCATACTAATATCAAATATTTTTTAAACAAGAAAATATTACACATTTTCTTAAGACCATCTTGGCTTCATGAAAGTAATTATGATCAACAATTGTAATTAAAAGATATGCGAAAAAAATATTCTGGTAAAACTTCCTTTTGATGAAAAATTCTTTTATTCTGTTATCCTTAAAAAATTTAAGGAATTCCACTTTTTCCCATCATGGAATTTCCATTCAGAATTTAAAGAAGGCGCGCGACTTACTTATTGTTGGGCAATCGAAAATTAGGGAAGATGGGTTGCGTGCAGGAAATAACATTTCAAAGTACAAGGAGCATATTTCGCAGGGTTTTCAAATGTAAATCAGAAATATGGTTTAAAATGCGCTTCTCAGAAAGATAAGAATGAGAAAGGACGTTTGCTATAGGCCGTGTAATTGTACACATGACCCTGCAGTTAGACAATTTCCAAAGATACTCGTTATTTGAAAGACACAATGTGTTCTTACGTAAGGATAAAGTTTTACAGTATTATTTAATAACAAGAGCCATATCTCATTGGGGCGTGTTGTAATTCCTAATTTTTCCAATTACCTGATCTGATCTAGCCGGTTACCTTGATAAATCGCAGGAAGGTCGTTGCATAATGCAAACGAATCGCGTACATTTGCATAAGACGATGATGGTGTCGGGCCGAACGCAATTTCCGTTCGATTCTTGCATGGGAATGGATGAAGTCGAAGGTGAATGACAAGCATGCATTAAACGTGCCGAAAGGTATCGTTTTATGTCGCGTGTGTGTGCCAGAAGCGCGAAGTATGTTAAACGGAGATGCATCAGAGATGTTCAATATTTTTCTTCAAAACCCTCGTGCGTTTTCAAGTGCCGGCTCGAATGTGCTAATGCGACGCTTAAAACGCTTATTGTATTCCTAGTTATTTGACCGAGGAATTAGGAAAAACTATAAGTTGATGTTGAGTAGTTCTGTTTTTCTCACGACTTAGTTGGGGTTAAATATTTAAGAGATAAGTGAGGCGCGACTGAGCATTTACTCTCTCTGGAAGTATCGCATGGACAAATATATTTAATGATATTGAACCCATTTCCTATGTCTTACATTAGACACAGATATTTTCATCTATTTATATATCTACCTATTGCGATTACCGTTTAACTTCTGAAGCTACGATTAAGGAAACGTCGGAATTCGATTTTAAGATCCCCGCGTCTCAGCCGCGTTGAATCAATCTGTCAACGCATTTCAATCTGTCTCTTTCTTCCGCCGGTCGAGTTTTTTTTTTATTTAAAATGATTTAACAATGATCACATTTTTACGCTTAACAACATAATCAGGATAACAAGTATCATTCACGCCTTTTAAGATCTCAAGTTTAAGCCCGGAAATATAATAAATGGGCAACGTTGCGATTTTGCAGATAAATTAATCATCATAAATGCATATCACTAGTGTGTACAACAATCGTTAAATTAACGCGAGAAGAGATTGGTGATTCATTCAAGACAGTAGAGAAAAGCGATCATAAATTATTTATAATTGTGCGAAGCCGGATAGGATAAGCGTTTCGAATTATGCAGGTGAAATTGGAAGATACATGACAGAAGATGACACAATTTGACACACTCCATACATTTTGACACGACATGAGCACCTGATAATTGACAAAAGTGACATGAATGCGGTGTTTATATTATTATTCTTAATTCTCTTAACTCCTTGAATACTGTGGACGCACACGTACGCCTGTGACGATCCGGAAAGCGTCACGACATCCGAAACATTAATAACAAAGAAAACGCCGAACAACCGCGCGCGGAATAACCGCAAGGTCAACAAACAGTCGAACTGTTTGTTATAATTTAGTATAAAAGCCGACAGAAAACACAGTTGCAATCTCTGTTGAGTATAGACGTATATATGTGTACTACGAATTTTTTCATTCTACATCCTCCAGACAAGCAACAGTTATCAATTATTACGATTATATTCGCAATTATATTCGTGCTTCTTTACATACTTTAACGTAAGCTTGTAGCCGGTTTTCGACTGTTCTTCACTGTAAATTCTAATGTGTTTATTTGATTCATTTTATCTGTATAATTTCCAGAAAACACTTTATTCATATTATTTTAATACATATAAGTGTGTAATGTATTCATTTTACACACATCTTACGCATAATAATGAGAACACGTCTTAGAGACGTATAACAAGGTAACGCACTTCGTTATTCAATGTTTGCAACGTGTTATAAAGACGTATTTACTCTTTATTTACATGCTTCAACAGTTTAACAGTTAAATAACTTTTACATGGTTAGAAAATTTTCATGAAAGTAAATTGCACACAGAAAGAATGCAAATATTAATCTGCAAATGTATTTTATTTACACTCGAAATAAGTAATTATTTTAATTGAAATAAGGAGCATGTTATACATAAGTATTATGAAAGTCACAAAATTGAAAACAGATGTAAATCACAGCTACACTGTCAAGTCAAAATATTATTTTGGCTGAATTCTTTTTTTTAAACGTTTCTTACCGTTTTAAATTACCATTTAACACGTTTAAACGTTAAATTAAAATTTACATGTCTTAAATATGTCAAATGACGTAAAAAGTGACGTTAAAACAAGGAATGTGTAAAAGGGACTTCAACCAAATTAAATGTTTATGTGTTTAAAAATAACGTACTTGAATTTGCAGTGAAGACGTGAGACGCTCGGGCTTATATTGCAAACTCAAGTATGTTATTCTGACTGAATCTTTTTTACATATTTCATACTGTTTTGAAACATATCATTTAGCACGTTTAAACGTTCAATTATAATCTATTTGTCTTAAACGTGTCAAATGACGTAACTTAATCCATTCAGATCCTATGTGCACAATTTTGCACAAATTTGAAGCCTTGTAAAATTATTATTTTTTGTGAATTATTGCTCTGCGATCTCTGGATGGAAAACTCGGAAAATTCAATAAATATTGATTTTTTATATTTCTATTTTTATTAAACCCTCACCACTAATAACCAATATGTAAATATTTTTTTATATTATGAGAAATAAATCGAGTCTGAAGGGGTTAAAACAGTAAAAAATGTATAAAAAAGCTTCAGCCAAATTACGTTTATACGTTTAAAAATAACGCAGTTGGATTTGCAAACAATTACGAAACAATTGAACTGGGATAACAGTAGACAAGATCGGTTAAAAAGAACAAGCCGGCCGCAAGTCTGCTTCAACGGCAGTAATAAACGCAATTTAATTTATCTCGGTTTACTGTTTTCGACTCTTCAAGAAATAATTTCTTTTTCATCAATTGACATACACAAAACTCCATTAATGCTGTCCCATTTTCTAGTATAGTAATATTTAAGATTTGCCATCAGGCGCACTATATTATAAATATTTGTGCCTGTTTATATATAAATATATTATTATCAGGCGCACTATATTATAAATATTTGTGACTGTTGATTATTCGATTCGTTTCCAGATTACAGAATCTTAAATATCACTATGCTGGAGAATGAGACAGTATTAATTGAGTTTTGTGTACAATTGACATAATATTCCGTCGTTAACGAATAAATATCTCCACGCTCAAAAAGATTAAAGATGTTTAAAGAATTGGATTTTAATCGCGATTAGAGTAGAACAATGAATAAAGTAACATGCGAGAGCGATCCATAATAAACACTGTGAGCGTGATGCATAAGAAGAAACGCGTCAACGCGAACATAGCGAAAGCGTCAATTAAATCACACTATAATGATTAAATTAGCTGAACATTTTGCCGTTCTTTACATGGAGAATATTGTAGTGAAAATTATATTTCTTTTACAGTGTTTTTTGCAAAGCTAACCTATACTAAAGTTGTAGTATAAATTATTATGGAAACAATAAATTCGACGATTCTACCTGATATATAACATAAATAAATAATATTCAAGGAATCAGAATAATTTTATAATACAAAGTCAAATGTGCATGACATTTTTAAACAAATATATAGTAATTTTGGTTTTAATTCTGTATAGTCCAAAATTACAGAAATTCTGTTGTAATTTTTGCTACAATATTTTCTCTGTACGACCACGCACGTAAATCGTGCACCGTTTAAAGTTGTGATCTTTTATCATGAAGAAAACGTCCCTTTTCTTCTGCTTTCAGAAACCATCATCTTATTTATAGTGGGAATCGCGTGCACTTCCCTGGCTTACATAATTTACATTTTCAATCCCATGAACATGTTATTGGAATACGTAAGTATTCATACGCTGCACTGAGAAAAAGAGTATCTAAAAATATAGTAAATATTTTTTTGGAAAAGGCTGGTAGAAAAACTCGGGAAGAGATTCTAATTTAAAGGAATCAATTTATATATCGCGTTTAAAAAAGCGCACTTTTCGCTTCTAAGCAAAATATCACGCAAATATCAGCAAGATCTCACGTTGATTATCTGAAACAGAAATAAAATTGCCGAATCATGATAACATACGCGAAATTTATCGTTAAAGCTATGAGAACAGCGTGAATCGTTCGTGACACTTTCCACTTGATACTTCATTTTAGCGCTAAATTATTATAGAAAATTCAGCAATTCTTTGCGAATGCCTCGCGAACGCGATACGAAACAAATCGTGAAGACGAACAATGCGCAAGCAACATTTAGAAATGACATATATTAGTTTGACATGCTGGACATATTATCTTCCCACTATCATATTAATATTATTAAAGTATTATAGTATTACGCATGTATGTTTTTCGTAACATATAAAATGAATCTATTCGAGTCATCGGGGGGTTTTGGGAATACAAATATATATATATATATATATATATATATATATATATATATATAAGTTTTGGACTCAAAGATCGGTCTAAGTATGGAAAGTTGATTCGCCACGTACGATGATTAGGAAAATTTCGGTACGTGCGTTTGACATGTTGGACATATTATCCTCCCACTATCGTATTAATATTATTAAAGTAGTATTAATATCTAATAGCACTATGACATCCGTACTTGGCTCCTTATAGGCCATTCAAATATTTCTACAAATTAGAAATGTTTAAACAGCAAAATCAAGATCTGTAGAAAAATACAACGAGTCTACATTTGCAGAGCATACAAATGAGGCCAAACTCGCTTTTCTTCACGTTCTGGAAAAAACCGCCTACCGCTATTAACATGGGCATATATGTATTTAACTTTACCAATCCGGTGGAGTTTCTAAGCGGCAAGGAGAAGCTGAAAGTTCAAGAAATTGGGCCGTACGTCTATAAGTAAGCATGTCTTACATATTTGGCACGCTTAATCAGTAACTTTTAGTCAATCGAAACATTGTATCTGCTCAATTTTTTAGAGAACACATCAAGAATGATAACGTGACGTTTAACGACAATGGCACTATAAGCTTTATAACTAGGCGGGAAGTAACCTTTGTACCTGAGATGTCAATTAATGATCCGACGAAGGTCTTTATTAATGTCCCGAATGTGATTATGTTGGTAAGAGAAAATTTGTTGGATCTTTTCTATTTTTATCAGTGATGAATTGCAACTCTGAGTATTTTCCTCTGCGTTTTCCAATCAATCAGATATCACTAAGCGCCACTTAGCATCAATAAAGAAGTATACATGTCAAAATTTTTTATTTTAAAATTTTAATTGAACCGATTTGATTGCTATTCGGCTCAATCTAAAACAAGTGACTTTAAAGTTATCCACTTATTTACTTACTAATTATTTACTAATATTTATTTACTAATTTACTTTAAAGTTATCCACGTTTTTTCTCGTAGCTTAAATTTATTACGTAGTTGCATTATATTATGATAATGCATCCGTAAAATTAATATCGATTGAAAAATTAACATTTACAACTAATCAAGTAAACATCTATTAATGATTAAATAAAAGTATCGAGAAAAACTTTGTACAGAATTCTAAGAATTATAAAAACGTTAACGTATTTATATGCATATATACGTCAACGTATACGCGTCAACGTATTCAAATTGATATAATTTGTAACGATAAGTGATCACATTTTACAGTATAAATTCACACCATGAAAATACCGGAAGCTTAGATGCATTATTATTACCAAATACGGGCGTGATTAAAATAAAAAAAAAGAAGAAAAAAAGAAACACTCTACTGACGCCATGATTAAGTGATTAAATGCTCGAGTAGCTAGATCGAAGAGCGTAACCTTGCAGTTACAAAAGACAAATGCGCTATTACGAAATATCCAATTTGCATAGATCATTAAATGTCGCGTGAGCATATTTGCATATTTAATCCCAAGTTTCTCCAATGCTTGTGAAGAAAAAAATATTCTTCCTCCTCGTATTTTGTTTCATTGGTTTATAAATTATGACGAAAACCGCGTGATTATTTTATACATTCGTCGCTATATATTCCGCTAATTAAAAATTCATGCGATTTCTGCAACATTGTATTATTTCGTTCATAGTTATAAGAATTTTTCTCGAACGTAACATCGTTGATCAAAACCACAATAATTGTTCCAAGCGACTTTATGCTCGCAACAAATAAAAGGATCTGTAAATTTATGCCAATTCCGATCTATTATTTACTACTAGATTATTTCTTCTCAGTACAAGATGCAATTTTATCTAATCTAGGGGCGTCTTCGTCCTCGTGAGTGCGACTTTTGTCGAGTCATACATGCATATGAGTAAAACTAAAACAAGTATTTTTTTCTAACGAAATAGTTCTTCTAAAGAAATAGTAATTGTTCATCTTAGCGCGCAGCGAAATTATATTGTTATGTGAAAGTATTTTCCGAGAAAGTTCAAATCACTCAGAAAGAGACAGATCGAATAAATCGCAATTAATAGTCGTATCACTTATAATCAACGATCGCGTAACATAACTCGTATTTTGGATGAGAGGCCAATATATATAGGCCAAAATAGACACAGAGCCAAATTGTCAACACCCACATAACATTAGATATTCCATTAGATATTGTATATACATAAAAGCTCCATGATGTGAAAAAACATCTTGTATATCCACTGCACATACATTTCATATACGTAAGATGAATATACATGATGATATATATTATGTAAAAACATTAATGATTTTAATATGTACATAATGTCGCATGTATATTCCATGAATATATATATTTTGGATCATACTTCGATACATATCGCATGTACATACGTTAAAAGAAATTTACAGTACATTCGATATCTGTGATAAGTGGTACATTTGGCGTGTATACACTGGGCGAGATTTCTGACCACACTGGTCTCCAGGCGATCGGTGTTAATCCTTACTAGACATATTTAAATAGTTACGCTGATCTTTTATGAACAGAATAATTAGAGACATTTATCATAGAACGGAAGTAATTCCGGTTTTTATCACTGTCACAAGGATGAAATATTGAAAATATAATAATTTATTGCTATTGTAGTATCATTACAGATGAATAATGTATTAAACGCACACGTATAATTACTAAATACAAGAATTTACAAATCTTATAGCAACAGGATTTAATAAAATACGAATAATTATAGACAGAGTAATTTTTAATGCAATATTATGAATGAAATTTATTGCATTATGCGCAATTAGATCTAGAATGTATAACTAATACATAAAAATCAAGCACGTTCCATGTTTTATTCTTCCATATTACATTGTAACGATATCCTGTTTTCTTCATTGTGCTCACTAATTATTTATGATATGACAAGTAGTATTTACCGAAATAAAAAAAGGTAAAAAAGGCGTCTAACTTTTCAATTATACCTGCTGGTTGTGTCATTGAGAGTTGTCATGATCATTGGGCGTACGACCACTATGTAATTACTAGACAATAGAAAAGTAGTGAAAAAAAGTTGTTTTCGTCATGATAAAGAATCCGGAAGGCAAAATGAAGATCTAAACAGACAAGCGAGATGTAAGCAACACTCGTGATGTCATGTGTCTCACGTGTGCTGATTAATGTAGAGGATTGTCCCTCGCTTACAACATTTTTGAACATACAGAGAAATAGATGAATATCTTGAGAACGAAATAAATAAAAATTCTATTGCAATCCATAGGGTGCCTCGTCCGCTTTGCACGACGCCGGATTCCTGATGAACTACCCCTTTTTACAACTGACAAACATATTGGACGCACAACCTATTCTCAACATGTCGGTATATGATTATCTGTGGGGTTACGAGGACTCATTAGTGTCACTGGCTAGCAATATTATGCCGAACTTCATCAACTTTCAGAAATTCGGTCTTATGGACAGGGTGAGTTAAGCAATATGTTTCGAAACGTTTCTTCCCTAATGTTCGCGTAAATATGAATGTGAACGTATGCATTTAGCAGAGTATCAAAGCGCAAGTCATTCACTATCGGAATACGTATATTGGAATCTAATTTAAGAATAGACGTAGATATATCTGTCAATGTGAGATATATGCATTTAAAGTTAAATTTCTTAATTCTCTTCTTTTTTCTCACGACCCACAGCTGTATCTTTTACATATTGGTTTCTGTAACGCAAAACATTTTTTCCGAAGTCTTGCAAAATACATTAAAGTTTGCATGTTTGTTAGAAAAAGAACAATCAGCTAAATGAACTGCGTATTATTTTATAAAGTAAATCATCATCAAAATAGATAAAAATTAACGGATCACGATATTTTAGTCTTCTTTCATTACAAAGACTTGATTAATGTTTATATTTCCAATGATCTGCATATAGACGAGAATTACATTTCTCTGATGGAGAAATCGAAATAAAAGTTTTATTTTTGTTAAAAATTTCTTAAAAATATCTAAACTCAGATATTGTTCTTTTATCAATTTATTTCCTGCGTTCCTCAGTTGTTGACGAAATCTAATAATTTAGTAGAGAGAAAGAGAAATAGAACGTATTTTGCTCGTCGTGAAATAAAATAATTACCCAACGGCAAAATGACGCTTTACTGCTCGCGTTTAACTACTTTAGAGCGTATTGGCAAATTTACGATGGCCTGGTTCTTAACGAAGCGGTTAATCGTAAACACGTAAAAAAATTGCATCGCACTTTGCGGTGCTAGGTGCAAAAGTTGTAGTTTAACCGGATATGCGCGTTCACTTCTTTCCATCGCGATAGTTTTAAAATATTTGTTTTAAACCCGAAAGAGCATGGAAAGGAGGAGAATCCCTAAGGCCGGTTTTTGGCACTCTCTGAATATGATCCAAAAATATCAGAAACGTTATATTTTCGTAAGAACTATTAAAATAAAATAATTTTATTCTAAATGAAAATATATTTTGGTGCCTGCTTATACTATAATTCTAATTAATCCCATTTTTATCATCAACGTTCTTATGTCACTTACATATTATCTCCTTATATTTGTGTGTGTGTGTGTGTGTGTGTGTGTATGTGTACGTTCGCGCTTGTGTGTGTGTGCGCGCGCGCGCTCCATACTGAGAAAACATTATAGAGCAGTATGATTTTTAAAGAAACGTATATTGCTAAATATCTACATAAATAGTATTTTCGTAGTTTCAAGCGCGCGTGCGCACACACAAATGTAGGGAGATATGTAGGTGACATAAGAGTGTTGGTGATAAAAATGGGATTAATTAGAATTATAGTATAAACAGGCATCAAAATATGTCCGTTTAGACTAAAATCACTTTATTTCAATAGATCTTACAAAAATATAACGTTTTTGATATTTTTGATTTAATTTCAGAGGAAAAAACCGGCCAAAAACCGGTAAAAAACCGGCCGTAGGGACCTTCTTCCTTTGGAGAAAAGAGAAAAGATACGTGTCAGTTTGTGTCACATTGTAAAAATACTGACGTTTATTTGCGATTGTTAAATTTTTTATTTATTTATTTAGAGTTTAAACGCGATCTCTTGCACATAATATTTCGTCTGCTGCTTGTCGCTACGCATAATTAATTTGAACTTTGAAAGGAAAAAACACCGAGATAATATTGCGATCGATCTTTTGTGGAGGACGTATTTGTCTCAGCAGTTTATGCGTCAGGAAAATACGTTTGTCTGTAGTCGATACCTCTCAGTGTCTTCTGGACTTGTTTATAAAAAAAAACGCCAAACGAATGCAACCAATGTGACTATGGCGCACAACTAGCCGAGGAGCATTTCAAGTATTCAAATGCGCTACTCGTCGAAAAGAAGGAAAAGAACGAAAAGACAGATCGGTTGACTTGAAAACATATATACACACGTCGAAAGGAGTAGAGATCCATAATCGTCTCGAACGTTGACTTCATTTCGCTGTTACTAACGAATCATCAGGCTGATTCGTTCTACGTATCGTCGAAGGTTGCAAAAAAGATCTAAAATATGCAACAAATAGGAACCGGTTTCCAATGCAAGCGTTGGTCTTTGTGAGCATCCTAGACCCTTTTTTGTTTTTAAAATAATGCGTCTGGAGCGCCGGAATGCATGCATGAGTCGCCTCGATCGAGCCGAAATCGATCGGAAATTTATGCTGCTAATTGAATAATATCCCGTATCTCGCCTGAATGAATGAGAAGGAAAAGAAGAAAGAAAAGAGAAACCTACGCGGGCATAAACCCATGCAAACACACGCATTCTCTACGCACGACTAGGCACCATTAATGCCACTAGTGTAATTATTAGTAGGTCACATGGAGTGGCGATTTTATGTGAATTATGGCTCGATAATTTCGCGCGAAAGTTGCTCAATTGGTATGACTTCGGTCGGGTTGATTTGTTATGTTAGTTTTACTTTCAATTAGAAATGGACTCTATAATCTCAGCTATGGACGCGCAGTGTTGCAATTTTCGAGTTGTTCGTCCAATTATATTCAAAATACATAGTACACCGACATTTAATGCGTATCTGCGCGAAAAAAGACACAAAGCACGCTCCTCTCGAGACGGAAGCTACCGTTTAATAAATAGCATCCTCTTCCTCAAACTCGCAGTTTTCTTCTTGTGATGTCACTTTTGAAATCTATGCAGTATAACGAATTCGGAAGAAATTCCAAATGTATCGACGCAACTCGTGATTTCCATCACGTTTCCTTTATGCGAGATAATTACACGCGGGTACGATTTTATAATTCGTCGCGCAACCCTGATTATGCTGCAATGCACAAGCGAGTGGAACACTGTCGCGTACTCGCGTGCCCTGAACGCCGTCGCTTTTCGCAATTATTACACGTCGTGCTGATCCTTTCACTATTTACACACTCTCGTTTCAGAGTTCATGAGGTTAGTGTGAGTTTCAGTGCCGCACAGTCTCGTGGCACATGCACGGATTTCCGGACCCACTTTTATCTTGTAACATTAACAATTGTTCAAATAGTGTATCTAATGCGTCCTTCAGAAGGACAATTGCCATTCACTTACGAACCCGGAATATTGCGCGCGGAAAACATCTCAACGATTCGCCGGTAGGAAAATCGGCAAGACTCTGTTATTCTTAATTGGAAATGCACTTATGCCGATATATTGCGCATATACAAATATCGAAATTAATTGTTTTTGTAATAATAAGCATAATCCGGATCGGTTGAACAGATTTGCCAAAAATATCCCGACATTCAATGGTAAAATAACTGTTATGAAAATATTCTGATCGCAAAGAATTACCTCCTTTTATCTCCCTTTAAGAAATATCTAAATAAATGCATGATTCTTCCAACGAAGATCGCATGGATCTAACTAATCGCGAAAAAGATTATGTATGTTTCGGTGAGGAAGAGGCGATTGAAAGGAGTAACTTTTCTCTAGAGTAACTTTTGCAGTCGAAGGCTGGAATTGAAATCTATTTTTTCAGATGTACGACGAAGGGGAGAACATCATAACGATGTACATAAAAAAAAATGCCGATATGAAAGATGAGAAAGGGAGATACCTTAGTATCGACAAGTACAACGGCAGTCCTGGATTAGAGCAATGGGGATACATCAATACAAAGGACAATGAGACACGAAAAGAGTAAGCACTTAGTCTCAACGATCGTATCGCGAAGAGCTGTTTTTCATATCGGGAAAGATACACCAGCCGCCGCGAACACTCCGTCGTTGTGCGAATAAAATTTTACGTCGTACGGATCGCCAGCCTCTCGTCCTCACGCAAAAATAGATTTAACGGCAAAATAAGTAACGCATCTTGCTCTTCCAGTAGGTGCTAAATGACATTTCCGAGGGCATCATAAAAATCCGTTGAAAGTTTTTATTCAAAATTAAACAGCGCGTTAAATTGAAACAGCATCGACGACGCGAATGTGAACGAGAAATGCAAACAAATCTGCAGAAGTCAAATATTGTTCCGGGAAGTACCAGGATGCTGACACCCCATTCGCCGAAAGCCACTGCGTATTATCACGATGCCACCCGTAATTGTAATCAAACTTTGCTAAAACGTATTACTCACACGTATCTGTTTGTCCTCGCCAAATAAATAGCGTTATATTTCATGCATTGATAATTGGAAGGACACGTAAGCTTGTGTTTTCTTGCCTTTTATAAGGTGCTTCCGCGCTGAACAAAAAGAAAAGAAAATCACATGAAATGTTTGTTGAAAAATCAATGTTAGATTTCCTCTCTTGCGAGCGAATATACACGTTTCATTTGACATTTTGTTTTTAATCACAATTTGGGAGAAAAAACGCCAATATGTTTCTTTATTTTTGCCCTGTAGAAATACGGCTTGCAATATACTTCAAGGCACCATGGATGGTCTTTTATTTCCGCCGCATTTGGATAAGGATGCCACTTTCAGAATCTATAGGAAAGTATTTTGTCGACCGTTACCGATCATGTACAGGAAAGAGATCACGGCGTATTATGGTCTGCCAGGGTATTACTATACTTTCATGGATGACTTCGCCGATCCGCCCGAGCAGAACCCAAATAACAAATGTTATTGTCCCAGCAAGAAGATCTGTTTGAAAAAGGGACTGATAAATGTAACGCCGTGTTACTACAGTATGTATTCCAACTCTTGTCACGTCGTGACTCGGTCGTGATTTCAGACGTAATTTCTTAGAATAACATTAGAATTGAAATATCGTGTAATAAGAAATGCTTGATTTGTGATTTTCGTAGAAACCAGTCTGGTAAGCTATTTCAGGTAATTCACTGGAAAAGTGAAACATATGTGAAACAATCCAGGCATGCTTAACACACTCGCTACCATGGTTTATTTAAAGAACTCTCCCCACAGTCTAACTCGTATTTTTTTCTTTTTTTTTACATAATTGTAGATTTATTGTGTTTATATAATCAGACTTAGTTTGGTAATATGAGCATAGAAAAAAATATTTGCCGTCACACTTATGTGACTAACTGGTTTGTAATGAGATATTGTAATACGCATATGTAAAGTTGATAACGTCACATGACGATGACGAACGTAAATACTCAGCAAACATGGCGTTAAATAAGCCAATAATAACATATTATTAACTTTGGAGACATTAATTTTTTTAATACGTTATTAATACGTTATATGACGTCTTTTTTACCAAGTATTGATATCATGTATGCCACGCAAGAAAAGTAAGACTGTTAATTAGTAATATAGTAACGTGAGATAATAAGAATATTGATTTCATCTTTAAAAGCAAAAAATATTTGATCTCTATAAGCAAAAACGCTAAAAGTTCATCTTTATTCCTACAACATTGTATTAATGATATCTTTAACAATCATTAGAGAATTATTCAACATTCATATATGCAAATATGTCAATACGACTGATTTAAACATGCAAAACATCAAAGAAATTTTTCTTTCGTTTTTTCTTTTAAATGATGTAGTCTTACAAATGTAGTCGTAAAAATGATATAGTCTTACAATCTAAATCATATTTTTATTCGTTTATAACGCATCACTGCTACATTCATATGAATTTATACAGAGGTCTCTTCCGCAGACCTCACCGTTCATCACTCATTTTGAATTCATTTCCTATCTGCACAGACGTGCCAAGAACGTTACAAGCACATCGTTACAATGTTATTATGTCGTAGCGACGTGCTCGCCACGTCCGGTGCTGTCAGAGTTGTAAATGTATGCATTTCTAATATAAAAGTCGCAAGCACGCATTTAACGGCTTAAAAAAAGAAAGAGAAAGAAGAAATGTAATTACAACAGTGTTAACGAATTGATTGATTCCTCTTTTTTTATATTTATAGATATCCCGTCGGCAATATCTTTTCCTCATTTCCTTGACGCTGACCCGAGCTTACTGGAAGATATAGACGGTCTTAGTCCGGACCAAGAAAAGCACGGGTCGCATTTAATACTGCAACAGGTAAACAATGTCAAATAGCAAATAGAAATATTTGCGAAACGCTCGGGGTATTTCGCAAAATTTCAGAAAAAACATGCTACTCAGCAAATATCAATCAACACTAACATTCGCATCAATGCTATAATTTTCCACTCGACAATATAAACATGATATAATATGTCGTATGTAATAGTTACGTTATTAAACCAAAAATTATAGTATTAGTATAATATTACTATTGGTATGTATATTGGATCTTATGCAATACTACACTTTTTTTGTTGCATTGTGCGTTGTGGTTTCTTTTTTTAAAAAGAGAATTCTGACTAGTTAAGATTGTATATTGTGGATTATTCAATCACTATATTATTTCTCGATATTATGCGTATGAAAAAAGTGTCAAAAGTGTATATTAATTACCTAATAGCATTTTATCTAATATCATATTATCTAACATGTTCGTATGACAATCTCAATGATGTAAATGAGCAAGTCCAATCTTGATCTAAATTTGTCAAATAATTGAGTGAGATCTTCCTAAAGATGGAAGAACAGCGGAGTGAAGAACGTGTAATTAAATCAGGAAAATAGGATTGATTTCTGAGAAGAAAATTTTTAATCGCGATCCTTTTAATCGAATTCAACGTTTTACTCCTTGGGATTTGTTTTAGCATATCTGCTAAAATAAAATATGACAGATATGAATAATAAGCAATCTACAACCTTAAGCATAAGCAGTTGTCTCATACACACATTACTTACATTTATTTTCGCGATGTTGTCCTTTTAGACGACCGGTGTGCCCTTGTATATACGCTCGAGAATGCAGACGAACCTGGTAATATATCACACACGTTACAATTCTAAGATTAGGCCTTTCAACGACAAAGTGATACCGCTGTTCTGGTTCGACACAGTAAGTAAAATCGTTTTCTCACACGTCAAACGTTGGCAAAAATCTTGTCCTTCTGTTTGAAAGCTATACGATTATCTCTGCCTCTTCGCTTTCTCTAATTAGCTTCTTTTATTGCTCCCGTTATTGTTGCCGTAATTTGCAAAACAACGCGTCGTTTGACATTTCTATGAGAAAACTCCATTGTGTAATTTAGAATAATGTTACGTTAAATCGAGGAAAGTGTGGTGGGATGTATTTCCTATAAAATACCAGTCATGACTGGTATTTTATAGTCATGGCATAAATTAAGCGATTTTCTGATTGCATTTCTTTCGAGTCGTTTAATTCTACGCCACTAACTTGATCAATATTCATGTCGCAATCGCATTATGCATCGTTCAAAGTCTTTATCATGTTCGGTCAGTCAAAAAAGTCAATTTAATTCGATTTATTGACTTCTTCAGCGGGTAAACCAACTACATCTTTTACGATACAGATATACAAATGTCGCCAAAATAGATAAAAAACAATGGCAATAATTACTTGGTCGATGAATAATGTGTTTCCATCCCACTCGATAATGTCTAATTTAATAAAAAAAAAAAAATTAATCCAGTTCTGTGTATCAAATTCAGGGGTTTACTTTATTATTAAGTTTAAATTTTAAATTTGAGAAAAAGAATTACGTTTTTTTTTAATTTAAGTTAAATTTAAATTTAAATTATTTAATTTAATTAATAATTATTAAGAGAGAGAGAGAGAGAGAGAGAAAATAGGAAAGTAAGTTAAACTGAATTTTTTACTTTACTCAATATACGCGAATAAATTACATAATTTTCTTTCTCTCCATTGTATTCATATAATTTTCATATAATTTATATATCACGCACATTTATATAATATAATTTTATTTATATAATTAATCACATAGTAATTATAATAATCTTTTTCTTCTAGACTTTGCCAGAAGCACCGATCAAAATAATCTTTATATTAAAATTGATACTACAGATACTACCGATGATGCAAACGATATTGATGTATTTATTTGGTATCGGCGGAGTGACAATGATAATATGGTCGTTTGTTCATATTTTGAGAGTCCTCAGGCAGCAACGGAAAAAGGAGCAGGAAGTGCCGAGACAGGCCGATTTTGATTTAAGAATGCCTCTGTGCAACGGCCAATGCACTTCGCTCACTATTCTACCAACGGTTAAGAAGATCACGTAAAAAACAGATCTATTTAGTTAGGCATTTTAACTAATATTTTGCGCACACACGCGCAGTTGGATATATTTATAAAATATAAAAATTTTTTGTAATACTTTGGTTTTTTTCGTTCACGAACGCGAGCAATGTGCGTTCTATACGGAAAAAAAGGTTTGATTGAATTAACCAAATATCTGGTCGAATATGAACGATCCAGAAATTCCGATTAAAGTAACCCGAATTCTGTTTAAGTTAACCAAAAATCTTGTTAAACAGAATTCGGATTACTTCAATCAGAATTTCTGGATCGTTCATATTCGACCAGATATTTGGTTAATTCAACCAAACCTTTTTTTCCATATAGGATTGGTTAAACTTGAAAGCGAACTTCTGACAAAAATCAGTAATCTCTTCGGTAATCCGAACGATCGCACGACGAAATATTGCGTAGTCGTTGGCACTTGCAAAGAAAAGAATGTAGGCATTGTATATGTGATTATAAGTTACATAAGTTACATAAACATGTGTATCCGCTCTGGTTGCATTTTCAAGATATTTTCTAGTGTTAAAAATGATATATTTTAAATTTGACAACTTAGAAAACGTAGATAAATTCTTGAATATTCTTATTCAGAAAAATGTGATCTTCCATTTAATTTTATATCTTTATTCGATATAAAAAGATTTTCTCTCAAAGTTTTATGATAAACATACTTATATTAATTATGTTAAAAATAAAATGAAAATAAATATATATAAAGTATATATTTATATATACTTATATATATTTATATATACTTAAATATATTTATATATACTTAGTATATATTTATATATACTTTATATATATTTATTTTCATTTTATTTTTAACATAATTAATATAAGTATGTTTATCATAAAACTTTGAGAGAAAATCTTTTTATATCGAATAAAGATATAAAATTAAATGGAAGATCACATTTTTCTGAATAAGAATATTCAAGAATTTATCTACGTTTTCTAAGTTGTCAAATTTAAAATATATCATTTTTAACACTAGAAAATATCTTGAAAATGCAACCAGAGCGGATACACATGTTTATGTAACTTATGTAACTTATAATCACATATACAATGCCTACATTCTTTTCTTTGCAAGTGCCAACGACTACGCAATATTTCGTCGTGCGATCGTTCGGATTACCGAAGAGATTACTGATTTTTAAAGTATATATTTATATATACTTTATATATATTTATTTCCACTTTATTTTTAACATAATTAATATAAGTATGTTTATCATAAAATATAAATAAAACAAATATAAAGTGAAAGTAAATATAAATAAAATAAATATAAAGTGAAAATAAATGTATGTACATTTTTATAGATTTAAAATATAATAAGAGGATATTATTACATAATTATTTTTATACTTTGACGTTTAGTTTATTGTTTTTTAAGTGTACAAAACATCATAGTAATAAATTTTTATAAATGGTATATAGTATCACGATGGAAATAGAGAAATGAAAATATATTTCTTTTGTATAAAATTCTTTTGTTGTTGATTTATTTGAC